ATTGGCACTAATATTTTTTGTAAAATAAAAATATTTAATTTTATTTGAAGAAGCTAGACGCCATATGATGGCATGTATCTTTTATTCTTGGTATAAATATATAATTAAACTTTTTTTTTAAGAAACAAGGCGGCAACATTTTTTATTTGTAAAATATAAATATTTAATTTTATTTATTTAGAAAGTAGACGCCATATGTCATATATATTTTATTATGGGTAAAATAATTTAAATGTTTTTTTATAAAACTTAAATTTTAAATATAATTTAAAAATGAATTTAATTTTTTTAAAAAAACAAATACAAAATGGAACATATATTTGTTTGCCCCATTTAGGTAAAAGCAATATATGGGAAAATTTTGAAGACATATTTGATGATAAAAACAAAAAACTTGATTACGTCCAATGTAAAAAATGTAATAGTATATTACAATATAAAAGCACATCTGGAAATTCTCATTTAAGACGTCACAAGTGCGTTAAGAATGACGATTCCTCTATTCCTAAAATAACTAGGTATATTCAAAAGAAAATAGATCTAAATTCTTCCTTAACTATTAAAAAGAAACTATGTGATACCTTGATCTATTATTGCGCCAAGGACATGCGTGCCTTTGATTCGATAACTGGAGATGGCTTTATAAAAATGGCTCAAAATTTTATTCAAATTGGCTCCATTTACGGTAATATTGACTGTAGCGAAATTATTCCCCATCCAACTACTTTATCGAGAAATGCTATAGTTATGACGGATCAAATTAGAACAAATTTGGTTAATAAAATAAATGTTCAATTATTTGATAAAAAATGCTCTGCTACAACAGACATGTGGACAGATTCTTTTAAAAAGTTTTCCTATTTAACTGTTTCAATTCATTATATCGAAGGTGAAACCTTATATAAACATGTTTTATTTACGAATAAGTTTAAAGAAGAGAAAAAAACCGCCGCGAACATACATAAGGAAATGCTACAAAATTTTGCTGCAATTGGAATAATTCCCGATCAAGTGAAAAATATAATATTTATATCTGATCAAGGAGCTAATATAATTAAAGCCCTAGAAAAATACACCAGATTAAATTGCAGCGCACATCTATTAAATACTGTTCTTCGAAATACCTTTAAGGAACAATCTTTGAAAATTATCGCTCCTAATATATATCAAACCCTTATTTCTGCTAAAAAATTAACCATGTATTTTAAACAAACCGGCATGAATCAATATTTAGACAAAACATTACAACAAGATATCGAAACTAGATGGAATTCAAAATTAAATATGTTGAAATCTATTTATAACCAATATGATGACATCGTCAATTTTTTATCATCCAAGGGAGATATTAATAAAATGGAAAACTTGGAGAAATCTATTTTGAAAAATTTGATTGATATTTTATATCCTTTTGATAAAGCTACTAAAGAACTAGAAGGAGATATTAATCCTACTTTACATAAAGTACTGCTATGCTTTAATAATATTCTTCACGAGGATTTAAATGATTCATTTTATCAAAACAATGAAATAAAAGAAATAAAAACCAATTTAAAAAATTTTTTATTATCTAAATTTAAAATCAATATTTTGCATAAAATAGCGACATTTTTATGCCCCAAATATAGAAAATTAAGAATGTTATCATCAATGGAAATATTAGAAGTAGAGAATTCAGTCAAAAATATAATTAATTCTGAAGAATATTGTCCTTCAATTGATATTATAGATTTGGATATTCAAGGCGTTTCTCAAATTGTGGAATCGCCTAAAAGATCTAAAGGTACATTTAAAATTGTTCTATTTATATTATTTTTATATATCAGGCAATGAATATGAAAGATGGGAGGACAATGAGGAAGAATATGAAAAAAAAGAAACAGATGAGCTTGAAATTTATAAGAATTTAAACATAAAAGAGAATAATGAAAATATAGATCCAGAAAAAGATATATTAAAATGGTGGAATAAAAAAGAAATTAGATTACCAAAGATGACAAAATTGGCTAGAAAAATTCTAGCAATTCCTGCAACGTCCACAACTTCAGAGAGAACTTTTTCAAAGACTGGAAGGTTATTAGACGAAAGAAGAAATAGACTGTCACCAGAAAATGTTGATGCTTTGATATTTTTAAATGATAATTATAAATATGAATCTAATATATAGTTGTGTAATTTAACATTATAATTATTTTTGGTTTATAGGTATTTTTGATAGTATTTTAAATAAATAATTAAATACTAAATAAATTTTCTGTTTACTAAGATATTTTTTGCAAAAACAAAATCTTAAATATAAAAAATAAACTAAAAGCTAAAAAAAATATAATTATTACTTTAGGATGAATTAAAAAAAATTCGGGTTCGGGCCGGGCCGGCAAAAATTTCGGGTTCGGGCCGGGCCGGCAAAAGTTTCTAAAAAAAATTCGTGTTCGGGCCGGGCCGGGAAAAATTTTTTAAAAAAAATTTCGGGCCGGGTCGGGCCTAAAAAATTAGGCCCGTGCAGATCACTAATGTATGTATCATAGATTCAAGTTTTTAGTAAATTTTAAAAAAAACTTAAGATAATTTATACTCTATTTTGGCATTAAATATATATTACTGATTTTATTTATTATGTAATTTATGCGCTTACCTAAATACCCAGACACATCTGGGGGTGTCACATGACTTTTCAACAAGCAGAAGGGGGGGGGGTCCGTGGGAACTCAGAATCTAAAGTAAAATGAGAAACATTAATATATATTTCTTAAATATTTTGCTTAAAGTTTTGTATTTTTCGGAAATTTTTTGGAAGGGGCTCTCAAAAATATTTTAAGTCCCTAGTCAAGTTATTGAACCCACCCTCCCTCTCCCATCTTTTTTTATGGGGGAGGGTATAATTTACAATCAAATATGTCTAAAAAACATAGAAAAAGTATATAGTCTATACCTAGTCAGATTTTTTTTTTACCCCTTAAGATATAAGGTTGATATTTTTTTCAAAAAATAATAAAATATTTTGATAATCAATGATTAATATATTAGAATTAAAATATCTTATCTGCCAAATTAATAAAATAATATAATGTAGAAATTTTAAAGAATATAATACAATGTAGAAATTTTAAGAATCAAAATACCTTATCAAATAATAGAATATACATGTAAAAATTTTAGGAATTAATATATATATATAAAGATAGAGGAGATCACCATCCCAACTTTTGAATTCGTCTTGTCTTGAAAATAAAAAATACCGAAAGCAATCAGTCTTATTTTCTGTGTTAAAATATGATTTTTATTTTATAAGATACGAGTATAATTTTTGCTAATAATAAAAAAATTTTTTTACCTTTCCCCATTTTTTTGTTTTAAATCTATATTATAATATTAAGTAACATATTTTTTTATTATCTCAATATGTTTCAGAGATCAATCGAGTGTAAATTACCTAGATATTTTTTTTCCAAAGATTTTTTATTTTAGGAAAAGGTAAACAAAAATTTTTTTAAAGGTAAACAAAAAATCTTTTTTTAAAGGTAAAAAAAAATTTTTTTTTAAATGTTGTACCTGGCTGATTGAGTTATCGTAAATCATGTTATGTACCTCTTTTATAAAAATTTATATATCTTAAATTAAAGTTTTATAAAATAATAACAAATTATGCAGTATAATTTTAAAAAAGGAATAAAGAAAAATATATAGATGGCAATTCGTTAAAGTAATTTCATTGCAATTCATGGTTTCATAAGCAATGCAAGCTGATCTCTGAATTGTTATTTTAAATTTAATGTTTTTAAAAAAAATTTATAATATAATTTTAGAAAAGGAATAAAGAAAAATATATAGATGGCAATTCATTAAAGTTATTTAATTGCAATTCATGGTTTCATAAGCTATGCAAATAAGCTGATCTCTGAATTGTTATTTTAAATTTAATGTTTTTAAAATAAAATTATATATATATGCGCTATATATTTTTAATCGTTAATTCTTTTTTATATAGGATTAACTTTATAATTAAAAATATAATTCTTTAATAATCTCAACTGCTTATTGAAAATTATAGTGTTTATTTAAATTGAGAAAGTGATTGTGGACTGGAAGGATTACAAAACGAAATTAGAATAAATTGAATAAGAAAAGAATAAATTGAATAAGAGAAAAAGCTTGGAAAAATTAGAATAAATTGAATAAGAGAAAAAGCTTGGAACTGAAATTTAAAAATTTATTTTTATACATAATATTAAAAAAGCGTCCTCTTGTCCAAACTTTTTTAAATAAATATCAGAGACTTGCAGAGGTACAATTTGCACGGCCCGGCCCGGATTTTTTCAAAATATATTATATTTATTTTTGATTTTTATAGCTAATAATGGCGATTTCAAATATTTGGTTTTAAAATATACGGCCCGGCCCGGGTATATTTAAAAAATTAAAATACGGCCTGACCATAAATCCGGGCCGGACTCAGGGCCGGGCCTGCAGGTCTCTGATAAATATATATTTTATATAGTAATAAATATACATATCGCAGAAAAAAAAAGTTTAATTGATACAAAAATGATGCATGCAATTATCTTTAGAGAAACTTTTTCCATTTGATTAAGGAAAAATAAATTGCCAATAAATTTTTTATTTGTTTATTCAAATCATTTGTTTATTTTAAAATGGGATATATACACTAATTTTAAATAAATATTTAAAAAAAAATGTATATTTTAATTTTCAAGAAATATCAAAGTGTAAATGTAGTTTCAGCTATGAATTATGCAAGAATATTTTAACTAAAATTATTAGAATCAAACTTGACTTTGAAACGATAACTAATTATTTTCTCGATATATATAATATTTAGACTCTATCTTTTACTAAGGACAAATCTTACTTTCAATCATCTATCTTTTCTTTACGTGATTGTGTTTTTCTAACTTTTTTTTTATTATGTTTTTTTTCAGCTGACTGACAAAAATTAAATTTTCCTATTTATTTATTAATTTTATATTTGTTATATAATATTATTATCCTTAATACCTTTTTTTTATCATTTACAAAGGCATACTTATTAAATTATAGGATACCATTTATTATTTAGAATGATTTCTACCACAATTAACAAACATTTAAAACCTTTAATGGTTGATGATGTTAGTTATACATATTATGATATTCTTGCATTCTTGGATGAAAAATTTCCAGAATCTAGGGGAAATTATGGTTTAATTATTGCCACAATTTTTAACTTTATTTTAAAAATAAAGATAAATTGCCTTACTGCCTTAGAATTTTACTTGAGTCTCAAATCCGCAACCTTGATGATGACCAAATTAAAATGCAGCATATTGATGAAATATTAAAATGGCCTAATAAAATCAGTGACACTATCAATATTGTTGATGCGAAAATTAAATCTATAGATGAGGAGTTTGCAAAAAATTTTGAAGTAACATTCAGGCCCTCAAGAGTTTTATTCCAAGATTTTACGTAATTTTTTTAAAAAATGTTTAAAAATTTATTTACACACAACTTATTAATATATTCTTTTAAATGCTTGGGCATCATAGTACTTATGATTAAAATTGATTTTATTTTATCAGTGGAATTCCTGCATTAATAGATTTTGCAGCTCTTAGGGATGTAGCCTACAAAAATTATAAAATTGATCCAATGACCATCAATCCAATGTGTCCAGTTGATCTGATAATTAATAATTCTATCCATATTGACCACAGCAAAGAGTATTATTTATATTTTATTTTAGACTAAAGCTGGCAAATTTTTTTTAACCTGAATATAATTAATCATAAAAATCAAAAGAATGTCTGAACTTTTAAATTTCATATTCTTTAATTTATATTTTACAAGCTTGGCAACACAAATCAAGCTTGTGCAACAAGCTAAGGCTCATACAAAAGATCTGAATGACTCAACCTCTTCTCAAAATATTAATAATTGTCAAAACACCAAAGCAATCAACACTAAATCAAAAAACAACAATGTTATACCGAGTGATGGACACATGTTTAGATCCCCATCTAATCACTTAGGACACCCATTTAATTCATTCCTTCCTCCTACAACAAATTTTATTGCTCCACACTCTCAGCCTATCTTGTCATACCATCCAATTTTACTCAATCCTCCAATATACAACTTTTATCCACCATTACCTCCTTATAACCCTAACCCTTACTTTTTACCGCCAACTTATTCTTCTAACTTTAATTATACATATTCTAACAATATTAGTTCTTCATATTCATTGAATCAAATACCTCAAAATAATTACCAATTCCCCAATGATAATAATAAAAAGTTATCCAAAGATGTAAAAATTATCAAATGTAAAGAAACCAAGATAGAACTAGACCCTCTGCACATAAATGGCTCTTTTAATGCACAGTCACAAACATCTAACTGTCAGAAGCCAGATCAAGCTAAATTCAAAATCCTAGAAAAACTTAGCCAAAGTGGTTATCTTTGTCCTGGATTGGCTATAAAGAATCAGGTATCAGAATTGACCAATCAGGAAAAAGAATTTGAAGAAAATTTTGAAAATGATGATACATTTGAAGAAGTAAAAGATGGATGCATGATTTGTGAAGCACCTCCCCCATCTGGTCAAAATAAAAGATACATTTTTTGTCCCTTTCATGATACAGTCACCGATTGGTTAGTCATTTAAGTTTTAAATTATAATATCGTTTTTTTAAATAATATTTTTATTATGATTTTTTTTTAAAAATTAAGCAATCATAAAACTTATATTCATTAATTATACATCTTTGAGTGCAAATCGATATTTAGCTGACAAAAATTCATTCCCTTATTTGAAAATTTTATGGTTAAACCTAATCATTTAGTTGAGCTGCTACATTCTGAGTTTATAGAAACAAAACATATTAATTATAACAACCAAACCAGATTCCCTTTTTAAATTTATCAAAATTAAAACTGTTGTAACAAAGAGTTACAATTAATGCTATAAACGTTATTACAAAAAAGAAACGTGTTACTTGTTACTTCTGAAAAAGGAACCTGTTACAGTTACTCGTTACCTTGTGGAAAAAGGAACATACATTACTGGATATTCAAAAATGTAACAGGTTACTCGAAGCTCAAAAAATTCATTATTATATGCAAAAATAAAATCTTTCTCCTAATTTATAATATAAATAAAATTATGCAAAATATAAAATATCTTTTTATAATAATATTTTTTTTATATATAATTTATAAATAAAAAATATAAAAATAATATATTTTTATAATAATTTTTTATACAATTGATTTTTTATAAAATAAGATAATTTTTATCAGATAAACAAGAGTGCTTAGGGTGTTCAAATGTTGCAAAGGATGGGAGGGTTGTATAATATTGGATAAATAGCTTATAATAAAAATTATTCTTTAATTTTTAATAAATTCTCATGATTAAAATTTTTATTATAAGCTACTTAGGCTTATCGATTGTTATTCAAATTTACTAGAAAAAATACAGAATTACAAAATAAATTATAAACATTCTGTTTTTTTTTAAATTTTAGTATGGTAGTCTATTAAATCCCATTCTAAAAGTTTGAAATCCTTGTTAAAAAAAATAATGATTTTCTTTTATTTTCATTAAAAAAAATTTAAGCAAATGTCATTAAGACCAATCTACTAAATAAAATGTCAAATTTGCCTTTCTTAGGGAAAATCAATAAAAATACCAAAAAAATAAGGAATATTTTAATGTTGCATAAATTGCTTTCTGGGTTTCCAGCTGTAATTCTCACGATTTCATACCAATTTCACTCAATCGCTTTTTCTCACGTTTTTTTGAGCAAATTAAAATAATCACACTTTTTCTCACCTTTTTAAATTTTTTCAGAATATTTTTAAAAACAAATATAAAATTTATTTTTCAAATATTTAAAAAATGTTATATTTGTCAATAGTCCAACCAACCATATTCATTGATAAATATTTAATTTAAGAGGCATATTTAGGCATTGTCCTTAACGTTAGCTCTTTACTAAATAACAAATTTACAACTACAATCTTAAGGTCTTAGCTATATATATACACGCTCTTATCAATAAACTTTAGAATTCTTAATATTTAAAAATTCAACAAAATTTTTACGGGAGCATTTCCAAAAACATTTTACAAAATAATGATGAAGAAAAGGCTTTGAATTTCAAAATAAATTAAAGATGTTTGTAAAATTTTTTATAGATTATATAGAAATACGCTATGATATTATAGATAATATAAAGAAATTCAGCCCTATGACATTAGAAAATGCTCGCATTTTATGAATTTCAAAAAATTATTTATAAATTCCAAATATATAATCAGATATTCTCTTTAAAGTAATATTCACATTTTTATTCCGATTACGAAGACAAATTATCCAAAAACAATAACATGAATGTGCATGGAAAAATGGATGGATTTCCTTTCGAATATTAACTCTCGCTCTACTTTAATAGTGAAAATATACAATTTTATATTTTCCACTCCACATAACAAAATTATAATAATACATGCAAAGCGTTTTCAGCCTATCTCCATGGTGCCTGCAAAATCTTTATTGCCTCTTTTAAAATCATCCATAAAATATAATAATTAATTATTTTGCTATATTTATAAACTTGGGAAAAATAACACATCATAATAATTGTTAATAGGAAATCAATTCAAAAAATATTAAATTTAATATTGCCTTAAAAATCTTGTTGCAGTAAATAAAACATATTAAGTATGACGAGTATGATATATCGATAAACCCGGCCAGCCCCCCTCCCCACATAAATTATTATAAAAGAAAAACTCATGTTTTCTAGTGAAAAATATCTGGTAGGCAACCTTTTGTGTCGTAGATTCGTTTAATATATATTGTAAGAACATGTAAGAAAACATTGTAAATAATATTGAAACAATTCATTACAATTATACCAAAATAAATATTCCTTGTTTTTATCGATTTTTTACCACGAAGGCTAAAACTAGGCATTCAAATTCTTTTTTTAAAACAGATATATATATTAGTCTTAGTAACATTTGCTTAAAATTTTATTTAAAAAATCGAAGAAACTTCATTGTTTTTATACAAGGAAACTTTAAAATAGGTTTTCCGCATTAAAAATAATTTTACCAAAAAAATAAAAGCTGATTCTAACATTCGAAACACTGCTTTATTCTGCCTTTATAGTAAACGCGTTTTTTTTTCAAACGGGGCGTATTTAACTCTTCGTTATTTACAAAATCTAGCCAATAAAATAGTTAAATTGCGCAAAAGTCAAGAAGATCAGTGGCCACCAAAGCTAAGCACTTTTTAGATGAAGAATTCAAAAATTTTGGCTTACTTAAATTATCAATTAATTTTAATATATAAATTTTCGAATTAATATTTAATTTATAATTATAATCTTTATTTAAATATAAATAAAAACATACATATTTTTTAAATTTTTTTTTATAAATATGGAGCAAATCTATGAAAACGCTATGATAAAATCTTAAAAACATATATATTACGTATATTTCAAAAATTATTATCTCTGTGAAGAATCAGCGGTTATTTCTATAGCGTTAAATATGCACCGCTTGAACAAATCGCGCTTACTATAAATGAGGCTTTATTCAGAATCAAATTCTGTTACGATACTTTTCGGAAGTTCGAATTGAAATTAACTAGTTTAGAGTGGGGAGGGAAAATTTGGGTCACGATCCTCAAATAAAAAAAAGCGGACCAGACCACGATCTTAAATTTAAAAAAATTTAGTTTAACCAAAACCTTTTTTTTCTGATAAAATTTCCATTTTCATAGTATATTGTAAAATAGAAATGAACTAAAAAAAAGAAAAGGAATCACGATAACCAAAATAACTCCTCTAGAAAAGTAATGTAAAATAAAATACACGTAAAAATTATATGGATTAAAAATAGCAAGGCAAACTCAAATATTAATATGAAATAAACTCGTTTCTGACTGAAGAATAATTTTAACAACCGGTCCGGACAGCGGTCCTTGAAAAAGACCGGACCGCTGATTTTTACTACCCTCGGTTCTTGGGTTGCTAAATTTACACCTTCTTTCCTCCCCTCTTGCATAATTTATAATTTTATTTATTTAGCGCCAGTACCCTCATTAATAGTTACGCGCTAGAATTCGAACGCAACAGAGAAAGATTAGCTTTTATGAAGGTACTAGATATTTTTGCCATACGACATTTTTTCGTTTTAAATTCCAGGATTAGGATAAATTTATGTTTTTTTTGGAGGTTCGAATTGGCAGTTACCAAATGAAAATGGGGAGAGAAAAATATAGTTGATCTGAATTCTAGATCTCGGTCTTCATTACTATTATTTTCTATATTATTAATTTTTAACTTCCTCAATAATGAAAATTTTTATACCAACCACCTTATTATATTTATCAATTTATAACTATTTCTTAAAAGGCTTTCGATAGTCAAAGGGATACTTGACCATTAAAAAAAATGTGATTAATTATTTCTGAATCTATTCTATCTTTTCGGTGAGTAACTTAAATTCGAAACTATATGATTTATGTCACTTTACAAAATCAAAATTTGTATTGAAATTAGTTATGATTGGGAAAAAAATATGTTATGATTTCATAATGGTTCCAACTCTGAGCATCTAAATATCTCTTTTTTTTAAATAATGAATTAATGATAAATAACTAAACGAAATAATTTATTTTTTATTTTGCTCATAGTGGGCTTCTCAAAACTTTCGAAATGTTAGACTCATCCCTCCGGGCGATGGTATATCCCACCAAATACGCTTGGAATATCTCTGCAAAATCGTAATGTGCCCAAATGAACTAGCCGAGGATTTTGACCGCCTGCTTCAAAATGAGACAGATACCGGAAGGTTGATATATCCGGATTCCTTGGTCGGAACCGATCCTCATTCCACTATGGTCAACGGGCTGGGGGTCTTTGCTAGAAGTAAAAAAAATCACAAAAGAATTGCCATTTATTTTTTGATTTAGTTTTCTCTTTAAACTTATAGCACTTCATCTTTCCTCTTACATTTTTTTAATAAAATATTATCGTTCAAGATGTGGGAGGTATAGAAGTCGAAAACGTGATGTTAGGACGCCCCATAACGATTTCCATAGGAAACGTGGTAGGAGTCCGTTTGAGTGGGAGCTTAAATACTTATGTTACTTCCACGGATCTAGTCCTCACTATAACCAAAGTTGAGTTACTTCTTGCTAATAATTAATTTTTATTTTTTTTATATAGTTTATCATGTTGCACTTTAAAATTTTGGGAACCTGACTGAATTACGAAAGTTATTAAGATTTGAAATTATATATGACATTCCTTATGTAATAAAATAATTAATTGGGACAAATAAAATTTTTGATATGCAAACTTAAAGTAGAATCTCGGTCCTCAACCTTTAATTTAAGCTGATTTGGAATGATGTGTAAAATTAAGATTCTCAAAGACGTCATAATTTTTTTTTAATAGAATGTTAAAATTGATGGATGGAATCGGATATTTAATTTTTATACTAAATATTTTCTGATCAAATTAAGAGAAAGAACGACGAAAAAGATAAAATTAAACATTAATAAAAAATGTTTTTGATATATTAAAAACAAATATAATAATTTATTGTTAAAATTTTTGTTTTACTTTTTCTCCAGGTTTTGCGCGGCCTCCCTGATACTTTAAACGGCAGCACTGTCGAATTTTTTGGACCCGGTTTAGGCGAATTAACGGTGACAGATCGGATAACAGTTGCTAGTATGTGCCCCGAGTACGGGGCTCTTTCGGCGTTTTTCCCTTTTGATTTGATCGCGTTAGATTACTTGAGTTATACGGGTATACATTATAAACTAATTAAATATATTAAACAATATATCCATTTTTAAACTAAAGTTTTAGGGCGCTAAGAAGAAAACATCTAATATACTATATGGCTTTGATTGGAGAACTCCGCATATTATTTTTTTTAAACTGAGATTTTTATATACCAAGATATTAGATGTAGAAATATATCGCGTTAAACGCCGGTTTAAGTGGGCCTATTTATAATTTTCATTTCTAATTTACAAAATAGAAACCAAATTAAGGTTGAATATCCAGTTTTACAATAATAATAAAATGTTATTTTTAAAAAAATTTGTACGTTTCATGTAATCTAATTTTTTTAAAAAAAATTTCACATACTAATCCTTTTCTACATTAATCTAAGAAGAATTATTGAAAATAAACTCACCTTTAAGTGTCATTTGATACTAAGGACTCTGAAAAACACTAATTTTTGAAAAGCAAACCCAAAAGTATATAAATTTTGAGGTTTTTTTTTGATTGATTGCCGTGCCCTATAATAAATTAATAAGCACATCTTACATATTATCTATCAATAAGATCGGTCCGAACACGAAATTCGAAGAATGAAAAGCTATTTTCAATCCATCCGATTATTGAGAGATCACTCTGATTCAACTCAATCCGATCCAATTTATTCTAAAGTATAGATATCTTCTCTTTCATTTATATCACTATGATTTCTTTTATTTTATATTCATTTTTTATATATTTTATTATCTGACTTCTATTTTTAATTTTCAGGGCAGCATAATAAAAAAATATATTTCTTGCATTTTAAAATAGGATATCACGCTTTTATAAAATAAAGGATTATTCTTAATTACTTTTTAACATTTTTTATTTATGATAGGGAAGGATAATACTATATAGAAGAATTGATTTGTTGAAAAGAAATACATTTTTATCCACATTATTGGTGGATATAGAACACCAATAATACTAAGCTGACGATTTATCATTTTAAAAAACCTATCACACGGTCTGATTAATTTTTTAATTAAGTGCACACAAAAAAAAAATTTGAGTTGACATAAAAATAATTGCATTTTTTTTATCAGTGGCCTTCTTTTTTTTCCCCATTTTATATTTTACTTACTTGCACCCTGCATTCCTTATATTTTATCGTAAAACGCCAAGGTAATAGATATAGACTTATCACGCGTTAAAACCTGTATAAGTGGGCCGAAAAAATCGCAAGAGAAGATAACATTCACTGGCGGACCCATTCCCTTATCCTTACTTAATCGTCGAGGATCTGCTGATCGTGCAGACGCATCCGTCACTCAAGACAGCGAGCTTTCGGAAGAATTTGAGCTATCACTGGTGGACCGTAATAAGGCTGTTGACAATTTACTTGCTGATGCAAACGATAACTTTACCCTTAAGCGCCTGCGCACTCCTTCACTTCTTCCATTGATCCAATGTTTTTATTTTTAACTAGTTTTTTTTGATTTCCGCACAACCCTGCAAATTAGAAATTATAGATACGGTAATTTTTTTTTTAGTCCTGTCCTAATTTATTTTACATCTTTTAACTATGAGCTCGGGGTGGCTTTCAAAGTTAATGTATTTATGAACTGTTATATGAACCAATGTCTATGGATAAAAATCACGTTATATATATAACAGATAGTCATGTGATTCTAGCAGCCATTACCTCTTGCACCAATTCGACTAATCCTAGCACAATGTTGGCCGCCGGCTTATTGGCGAAATCAGCTGTGGAATCAGGTAAAACATGATTTTTTGTTTTTAATTCCTCAACTCCTTTTTCTTCTTATTTTTTATCAGGTTACACTTCAGACTTATAAAGGCGGACACATAAATTATCAATAATATTAATGTAATACAAAATAATATGATCCCTTCTATATGGCTAAATTTGACATAGATTTTATAAGGAATTTATATCTTAAAATATTCAAGGTTGCAAATACAATAAAAAAACTACTTTGGATATTTAAAAATTATAGATGCTTAAATTAAAATAGAATATATTATGTAAACTATAATCGTACAACAAGGACTCTCCATTCCGGCTCACGTGACCGCCAGCCTATCTCCTGGTGGACCAGTTTCCGTTGCCTATTTGATAGACAGCCTAACCCTGCCCTACTTACGAAGGTTGGGGTTCCGAGTCACTGGCTATGGATGTTCAACTTGCGACGCTAATTCAGGGACCGATATGAATTGTTTAGACTGTTTGATGTTGGGTAAACGAATGTACATTATACCATAATCACACAATATCCATTAACTTTAGCAACGACGCTATACTTAATGACCATAATGTTTTCTATTAATTAGTCATATTAGAGCTCTGCAGGGGCAGGTTGGTGGTAACATCATCAATCAAATATAGACCCTGATTGTGGCCCGATAAATGATAATATTATATTTCTTTTTTGCCTGATCGAATATCAAAATTATGAAAAGAATTGAATTTAAAAAATAAGAAAAGTTTTATCAGGAGGTAAGAAATATTTTATATTCATTTTCTCATATCACATTTTGTTTTAAATAGAATAAAATAGATAAACATCATTAAAGTTATCACTGAATAGTTAAATTTAAGGCATAACATTAAAATTTGAAATAAAAAAATATATTTTTAAGGTTTGGGATTTCTCTTCTATAACCTTTTAAGTCGACCATAACAGATCAGGCCTAGTTCTAAGTAAAAATTTCTACAAAGCAGTGGGCAAGCTCGGGCCCAACATTTTTATATTTTGTAGGTCTCTATTAATATTTTCGAAATAGGCAAATCGATTCCTATCACAGACGGCCCTAAACAAAAGGCTAAAAATTCCAACGTGATGCTATGCTCTTTCCTTTCTGGTCACCGCAATTTTGAGGGGCGGAACATACCTCATGCTGGACTCAATTTTTTGGCCTCACCCCCTTTGGTCGTAGCTTATGCCTTGGCAGGGACTCCTCAGCACGATTTTCTTAATGACCCTTTCCCCATCAAATCTGGCCAAAACAAGGAAATTTATTTAAGAAACATTTGGCCTACCCGCGCCGCTATAGCCGAAATTGAGAAGAGACTGGTGTTGACGGCTATTTATAGAAGGCTTGACAAGAGGTAAATACTTCAACTTTTATTGTATAATCGAAGTGTATGGGTTTATATATATTTATTGATTAATATACTTCTTCTTTTTCATCATCTAATTTAATTTATGATATAAACTGTAATAATTTTAATATCATAGCATTCAAACTGGAAACAAGGATTGGCAATCTATCTCCATTCCTACCTGTGATTCGTCTTTGGCCCATGGATTGTTCCCCTGGAATAACTCATCGTCCTACCTAAGGTGCCCGCCAATTTTTGACAACACGGTGACTCCTATCCATAAATCCGATTTTATAACAGAGGCTACTGATTGTTTAATAGAAGGCGCTAGATGCATAGTATTTTTGGGAAATTGTATTAGCACCGACCACATATCGCCTGCGGGCAGCATAGCCAGGAATAGCCCAGCAGCTAAATATCTGGCTCAAACGGGGTTTATATATATTTATATAATATTTAATCATTTATTATTTCTGCTAAGCTATTATAAGAACGAAAAGCACACGCTTAATCTCTATCTACCCATTTGCAAATTAGGGACATCTTTAGCCATGACATGAGTCTGATTTGATGACAATATATCACATTTAAAAAAATAATAAAACTTCAGATAAACATCAATAGAAATTAAGAGAAATAATTAATTCGTTTTTTCAACTCCATAAATAAATCTACCCTTTGAATGTAGGGGGAATAAAAAAAAATATATATATATACTAGATTGTAAATCTATTTTCTTTCAATATCGGCCATTTTTTTTAGGTGATAGTGAGAATTTATTAAATATTAATATGTTAGATTTGGAGTCGAGACATTTATCAAATGAATCAATTTACATCTTTCCTTAATGTTTTTTTAAATTAAAAATTTAGTTTAAGTCCCAGGGAGTTTAATTCCTACGGCTCTAGAAGGGGTAATTACGAAGTAATGGTTAGAGGAACTTTCGGCAATCCTAGACTGGTCAATCAGCTGTTAAAAACCGCCAAATGCAAAGGTTTTAAAAATAAATTTAAATTTGTTTATTTACTTAATCTTTTCCATTACTTATTTATATTTGTATACCTTACAAATTATAATAATAAACTTTGGGCTAATTAATTTATATAGTTCCTTCCAACCATTCCATCCATTTTCCTTCTCGGCGTACTCTTTCGGTCTACGAGACGGCCTTATTATACCAAGTGACTCGCACGCCACTTATGGTTTTGGCTGGTCAACTATTCGGGACTGGAAATCCTACTCGTGATTGGTCGGCCAAAGGGCCACGCATGCTCGGTGTACGCGTCATTCTAGGTTTGAACAATATTATTCATTTATTTTTAAATTATTACATTCCAAGAATGGTACGCAAACTTAATATATATAAGTCAAAATAATTAAACTTCTTTTTAAGTTTAATGTCACGTTATCTATTTTGTTTATTGTGAATCTCAGAACCCATTTTGAAATTTCCATAAATCCGTTCTAACAAAAATGTAATTAATATACTGTTTGAAATGTTGTGTGATTTATTTTAGAGTGTTTATTGGTTTGAAATTTTATTTTAAGCTATATCCGAAACATCAAAAAAATTAAATTAACAAATTTTCGTTGATAAAAATAAAATAAATAAGCTATTTTAAATCTAAAAATAAAATAATGTCCAAAATAATTCTAAATTCATAATTTGCGAAAGTTTTAAAAATTCTTTTGGACTCAGCTTTAACAAAATTCATTGGCGTACGCAGCGGGGGGGGGCAGGGGGACAAATCCCCCCCCAAGCCAAAAAATGCAGATGCCGGATATATTTTTCAAAAATATTTTTGTTTAGAGTGTTGTGCAGATTTAATTTAAACATTTCCATATTTTTTAATTCGTTTGTAAATAAAAATTTTAACTTGTAAAAATTGATAAGAATATATAAATATGTTATTTTAACAACTTTTTACAAGTCAAATAATTTTATTTTCAAATAAATTAATAAATATGGAAATGTTTTGAATTAAATTTACACAGTACATATTAATTTATATTTGTTAATATTTATTCCTATCTCATATTAAATATATATTTAATTACATTTATTATCACATTCATAACTAAGTTTATCAATTAATTTCGATTTCAAGTTTTCCGGCGTAATATTATCTTATTATTTTCAAATTTTTAGTGGCGTAATATATCTACCATTTTTAAATTTCTAGTCTAGTAATAATTATTCTGAAATTGTCCAATAGGGAGAAAGAAATTGCAACCTTGTCCTACGAGATAAAGTCTCCGCCATCAAGCAGTAACAGCTTTTATGGAGTTAGAAGAGCCGATTATTTGCTATTACTGACATATCACAATGGCCTGAAAGAAATTTTTCCTTAGAAGCAAGAAAATTATTGGATTCAATGTTTGTTCCAAATTTTTTTTCTCATTAGGATGTACAACTATTTTATGTATTACTTTTCAAAAACATGTTGACTTGATTAAGAAGATGAGAATAGCGGAGAGCATTTTATTAGAATTCAAGGAAATTAGGGCTAATGTTTATGAAGAATTTCATGTTTTATATGTTATTGTTAAGTCAAAAGCAGAGCTATACGTGTTTAATATTTGTCTCACTCGACTTGCAGCAAGGCAAGCTCATAGTTAAAACATTAATATAGGATCAGTAGAAGAGTATATCTTAGATACAAATACATTTATAAACCAAATAAATGAATGGTTTTTAATTCATTAGCACTTACCAATCTGCAAATATTATTTCCATAAAAGCCTTCCCAACCTTTTTCAGATGGTGATAGAAAAAAAATATTTGTTGGATTTTTATCATGAAGATGTTAAAGTATCTTATGATGCCTTATTAGCTGAATGACTATGTTTATAAGATTAACTATGGTTGATACAGTCCCAAAAAATGCTATGGATGCTCTGCATTATTTCAAAAACATTTTAGATTATATTCCCAATGTATTAAAATGGTTTATATATATATTAGCAACTCTTCCCAATAGTAAACTAATGAGAGAACATTCTATTTTTTAAGAAGAATAACAGAGCCCTGCAGAGGTACCATTTGCAGGGCACGACCTGGATTTTTTCAAAGATTTTTACGGCTAAGCTCAATTTTCAGGCCCGCCCCGGCCTTTTTTAAAATAAAATTTTCAGGCCCGACCCGGATTTGAAAAACATACCAAGAAGTACAACTTTTGAAAGTAGATTGAAAGGTTTGGATCTTTTGAATATTCATAGGCATTTGATTTGACAACAAGCAAGGATGAGATAATTGAAAAATTAGCTCAATCCCAACGAAGATTGGATTTTACATTGTAAATATTTAACATACAAAATACAATTATTCCCTAAGCTTTTTGTGTATTAATTTATATTTCTAACATTTAAATTTTTTATACTTTATATATAAATTTTAAAGCTCAAAAAATTCAAATTTCTATTTTAGGTCATTTATGTGATTCTTTACATATAATTTTTTTATAATTCACATTAATTTAAAATTGTGTATTAGAAATAGTTATTAGTCCTAATAAATTTATGCTTGATATTTTTAAAAAACAGTACAACTTTTGAAAGTAGATTGAAAGGTTTGGATCTTTTGAATATTCATAGGCATTTGATTTGACAACAAGCAAGGATGAGATAATTGAAAAATTAGCTCAATCCCAACGAAGATTGGATTTTACATTGTAAATATTTAACATACAAAATACAATTATTCCCTAAGCTTTTTGTGTATTAATTTATATTTCTAACATTTAAATTTTTTATACTTTATATATAAATTTTAAAGCTCAAAAAATTCAAATTTCTATTTTAGGTCATTTATGTGATTCTTTACATATAATTTTTTTATAATTCACATTAATTTAAAATTGTGTATTAGAAATAGTTATTAGTCCTAATAAATTTATGCTTGATATTTTTAAAAAACAGTACAACTTTTGAAAGTAGATTGAAAGGTTTGGATCTTTTGAATATTCATAGGCATTTGATTTGACAACAAGCAAGGATGAGATAATTGAAAAATTAGCTCAATCCCAACGAAGATTGGATTTTACATTGTAAATATTTAACATACAAAATACAATTATTCCCTAAGCTTTTTGTGTATTAATTTATATTTCTAACATTTAAATTTTTTATACTTTATATATAAATTTTAAAGCTCAAAAAATTCAAATTTCTATTTTAGGTCATTTATGTGATTCTTTACATATAATTTTTTTATAATTCACATTAATTTAAAATTGTGTATTAGAAATAGTTATTAGTCCTAATAAATTTATGCTTGATATTTTTAAAAAACAGTACAACTTTTGAAAGTAGATTGAAAGGTTTGGATCTTTTGAATATTCATAGGCATTTGATTTGACAACAAGCAAGGATGAGATAATTGAAAAATTAGCTCAATCCCAACGAAGATTGGATTTTACATTGTAAATATATAACATACACAATACAATTATTCCCTAAGCTTTTTGTGTATTAATTTATATTTCTAACATTTAAATTTTTTATACTTTATATATAAATTTTAAAGCTCAAAAAATTCAAATTTCTATTTTAGGTCATTTATGTGATTCTTTACATATAATTTTTTTATAATTCACATTAATTTAAAATTGTGTATTAGAAATAGTTATTAGTCCTAATAAATTTATGCTTGATATTTTTAAAAAACAATAATATTTCTTAAAAAATTTTATTATCCCTCCCCCAGACCAAATTCCTGCGTACGCGTATGACAAAATTTTAAACCAAAACCTGGATCCATCGCAACCGCTTCAAATTTTAGAAACTGAATCACTTTTTAAAAACTATTTAGAACCGGAACAAAAACGCTAGATTAAAATTTTATACATATGTTTTTTATTTAAATGGTATTCAATACCATAATTTTAAATTTTATTTAAATGGTATTCAATACCATAATTTTAAATTTTATTTAAATGGTATTCAATTCCATAATTATAAATTTGAATAATATTAATTATGATTATAATTTAATAAAATATGAATCAAAATTTATGTAAAAAAAATTATTTAAAGAAAAATAGGCCTTTTATTTATAAAACGTAATATTGACAATTGGTTAATACCTTTATAGAAGATGTGGCCGATCAATATATTTAAATTTAATCTCTAATATGTTACCATTTATAGCTGAGAGCTTTGATAATACCTATCGAATCGATTTGATATCCGTCGGAATTATGCCACTGATCTTCGTTGAAGGAGAAAATGCGCAAACTCTCAAGCTTAATGGAACCGAGACCTTTGATATTTACGGTAGGATGTGTGATCATTTGGTCGACGGAAGAAATCCAGGAATGAATAGCGAACTGTTTTTGAAACCGAGACAAACGCTCGGTGTTAAGGTCGTTAATAAGTTTGAGATACATTTTAACATATCTTGTAAAGTTACTAAATATTTAATTTTTTATTTTTTTATTCCATTTAGGCTACAACCGATGATAAGGCTAAAGAAATTCATTTTAAAGCAATTTTGTTAGCTGAAAATGAGATCGAATGCCAATATTTGCAATCGGGTGGCATTTTGCAGCACACACTTTCAAAAATCGTTTATTAATTTCATTAGATATTTTTTTTATCAGCGGAAACCAATTATATCGAAATTGCGATTTTTTTTACATGTGACATATTTGTAATTTCATTTTTCCCTCCCCCTCCCTCTGCCTTTTTTCCTCCCATATTTCACCATTCTTTTTTACTCTATATTATTTTGATAACAGTTGATTTCTCATTTTTCGGGGAAATCTAATGAAATGACATATTGCTCAAATAACTAAAACTACCAGACTCTTATTGTCTTTTTATAACAACAAGGCCGAATAATTAATTTTTTTTATAGTATGAATCAGTTTTTTATTAAACAAACCTTAGACTAAAAAAAAATATTTGATTAGGGGACATTAGTATTCTTTTTTTTTCATTTAACACAATCACTTAAATGATTTTTAAAAAAATTATAAATATTTAAATAAATGTATATATTATTTTATTTTGATAAATATTACCCATTTCCGTTCAATTTATATAAAATAAATTTTAAAATAAACGATTTTGACTAGATCATTTTTTTGTCTGATATGGTCGTTTTTGTCCCATTCATCGACAAAGAATATGAAAATTAAGTGGATTTATTTGGATGAAGTCAGTATAAATTGTAATTTTTTCCCCCTAAATTATATTTGCAGATGATATTCACAGTAATAATAACATTTATGAATCCGGTTTAGGATTAGAGGTTTGCATTAGGCGGAGCCCGCCCGCCCACGAGTGGTAAAGAATTTTTTAAAGAACGGGTGGGCGGATTAAGAAAAGTATTTAAGCTATGGGTGGGCGGGCGAATTAAAAAATTTCAACTTTTATTTAATTTAAAATTATTTAAGTAAACATTAAAAAAAATAGGCTCCCTGAAATTTCAACATTTTTAATACCAAAATACCGATAAGTGAGGATGTAGTCTTCGGAAAAAATTAAATAGGTGAAAGGTATATCGAAAACATGTTGGTTTCGATTTAGATGGAATAATATAACATCAACGTGGATGAAAATCTGATTCATTTCCCCAGAAGAAAAGAGAATTCAATTAAAGATTATTAAATTATAAATGCAATATTTGAAATAGATTGCACCCACGACAAAATTAAACACCAACAGAAGGGAAGATGTGGCTGTTACAGGGGAGAGCATTTCCTAATAACATAACAAAATATTTAAATCTTAAAGTAACCAGTTTTTGTATAATTTAGCCAGATTTTAGCTATTTAGTGTGGTTTAAGTTTACAATTTATAAAGATTAATTTAAATTGCTTTATTTATTTATTATTAATGGTTTCACTTTTAATTTAAATATCTCATTCGAGTAGATGATCTGCTTTAAACGAATATCCTACTTTGATGGAAACGACAAGAAAAAGATTTATCAAAGCTATAAAGATGAGTTAGAAAAATATTGGCATTTTCAGTAACCAGTGCTTCTTCTGAACGAGGAATCAGCATTGCTTTAAGGTTTTTAGCATCAATAAATATTTTATTAGAGCAAATAAATTCCTTATCCATAATTTAAATTGAATATTGCGTAATATAACATAAATTATAAACTTTTTTGTAGGGATGTAGCATTGAAAAACTAAATCATTTTTTTATTAGATGCTTAAAAAAATTGAAAGAATGAGTTTATTTAAATTTTATATAGGTGTCGTGGGTTAAATTTTTATAAATAATGGGCGGGCAGATATACTTTTTAAAGAATATTGAACGAGCGGGCTTGTGTGCTAGAAGCCCGCCCATTGCGGACTTCTATATAGGATTCTTTCATATTCCAAAATAAAATTGAGGGCACGTTTCAAGGCTTATGATTGTGCCTCTCGGTGAAAAGTTCTTTATTAAGTTTTAAAACAAATCTTCTCCAAATAAAGTAAAATTTTTACCTTGCTATACTTATCAATTAAATATAAGTTATGCTAAAACCCAAAGAATTCCTCCAGTTCCTCTATTATGCCTTCGAAAAGTTTGAAATCCGCTTTCTTATAAGGACCATAAATTACAAATTCTTAAAGTGCCACTCTTTGGAGTTGGCTTATAAGAGTCCAGTTTGGTATTTTATTCATATTAAAAGTTAGAAAATCGAAGATGTTTCTTGTCATGTCTGCGTATTCGTTCAATAATTGGAGGCAACACACCCATAGATGGCAAACTTCATGGAGGCAGCAGGGCTCTCAACCCCCATTGACAAATTTTCATGGGGAAAATCAATTATTATATCTCATTCAGAAAAAAACAAAAAGAAATAAAAACATTAATTAAAATATTATTTCTATATTGTTATGCTCTTTCGTCTTCCCTCTCGCTAGACCTCCCCTTCCCGCATCCATAATAAATAGATGAATTATTATATCAAAATCTATATAAAGGAATCATGAAACTTTTATTAAAAAAATATAGTGTGGTTGAGAAAAGAGCAAAATATTATTACACAAAACAAAACTTTCTGTAAAAATTTTCTTTCTTATAAGCAATATTTGAGATTAGAAGTTTTAAATGCTGGAATTCCATAGTGAACCATTATATTTTCAAAATAATGATAAAAATTAAAGAAGCGCGTAACCGCTACCCGTCACAACAAAGTAGCACGCTATTCGCTATTATTTTTCAAAGGTAGTTTTGGCTACTTTTTGGGTTATTTTATAAAAAAAATACAAATAAATTTGTTTTATTTTTTGGTTATAATGTAATTGCATATAAAAAAAATGAACATTTATAAATATATTTATATAAAAAGACTAAAATTAATTAATGTAGTAAAAAATAACTATTTATGATAATTTTATTTATTATTTATTTTGTTACATTTTAATAATAAATACATTTCTATATTATCATCCCCAAGTCTAGATCAGCGATCACTAAGTATGAGTTTTGCTTTATCAAATAATCGCTCAACACTCTCACTCGAGGGTAATGAAATAATCATCAAAAATGTTTAAGGAGATTAATATTCTTCAAAAAAATTATCTGAATTAGTTGTTTTTGTATTATATTGATTTATATATAAGATTATTCAACTTTATTATAAACCTATAACACAGATCCTCATATAAATCTAATTCTCAAAATATCATTCTGAAATTAGGTTTCAATATTTTAACATTAAATGTAATCTCTGCTAAGTTAAAATTACTTAAATATATCATATGTGATAAATGAATGTATACAATTTCGAAATGAAAATATTGCACAACATTTTAAAATTATTTAAATCATACTTAATTAAATGTGATTCTGACGCAAAAAAACTTGACTCTAATCACTAATAATTTAATATTAATATATAAATATAATTATTTCATTTTTGTGAATCTATTTCTATTACAATAGAAATTATAATGAATTCTCACTAAAATCTACACAATTGTTATTACTAATTCATTAAATTTATATGAAATAATAAAAAATTCAAATATTTATTGCATAATCCTGAGAACTAAAAGCTTTTATCAAAATAATCAGTTAGTATTGATTCCTGTATTGGATTAAATAGGGCTCTATGCATATATCTTTCTTGAAATTGATTATTCTTTTTAAATAAACTATGTTACCTCTTTATACTTAATTAAGTATATAAATTTCAATATATTAATATATGTACCTACCATAACTAAATTTGTAATTAAGGCTATCGATGTCATAAGAATTTTCTTCATTTGAAGAAATTTCATTTTGATTATTATTATTTTCTATGTTGATTTTTCTTATAATTCACAACTAAATTTGTAATTGCTATCGATGTCATAAGAATTTTCTACATTTGAAGAAATTTCATTTTGATTATTATTATTTTCTATGTTGGTTTTTTTTAAATATTTGTAAGTAATTTAATTGATGTATTAAAGATAAGACGCACCCCGCTAATCTCAGGATCATTTAAAAATTAATTTGGGGATATTAAATTAAGATAATTATTTTAAATATTTTTACATATGATAAATTGGAGATTTTTTTTATTATTCATAATTAATATGAAGTCGGAGTAATTTTATAATAAAAGTTATAAGTGAAAATATAAAAAGTTACTTTTAGCATGTTTTTAAGTTTGAATTTAAAATTTTTCATTTTTAGACCTACTTAAGCACCTTATTAAAATACATATTTGGCCTAAATTTCAAATCTCAAAGCTCATTAGTTTTTAAATTATTTGAGTAGAACACGCCACGGAATAACACTATCCCTCATAGGCGTAGTCAGGGGGGGGGGCAAGGGGAAATTCCCCCCCCCCTTCAGAAATTTATCACTTTTTGTGAATATCATTTTAAGCTAATAATAAATATCCCCCTTAGCCCTCCCCACACTCCCTGACCCCCAAAAATGTAAGCATATAATTTAAACAATAATTTGAAAGAAATAATGTAAAAGTTAATATTTTTTTATAAAAATATTAATCATAATTTATACATTTTTGGAAAAAAGCATTTATATATAAAAAAAAAGTGAACCAAAAATCTTTTTAGGAAATGGAATATAAGATAAGTCTTAAGACAAAAGTGAAATGTATTATAATTATTAATAGATCCATAAAATTACTAAATAATATAATATATCAAATATAATTTTTTATAAAGTGAGTAATTTTAATTTATTTATTTTAATAAAAGTAAAATATAATTATAAAACTATTGATAAAATTATATCATAAATTAAATAAAAAAAATTAAAGGTCAATACAAACAGTGGAATATTATATGTCGTAGATTTATAGTATATTATATTTTATCAATCATCATATGACAATCAAGTATTTTTATCAATATAGCGAATTATACATTTTACAGAAAACTATAAAATATTGATAAGGACATCAGAAAATATCTTTTAAAGACATTGCGAGATAAATAATATGAAGTTTAATTTTTAATATTATATTTAAAATAAATAGATAGCGTTAAATAATTGAATGCAAATTGTTGCTATATTTATTATCAAGAGCAATGATTAGTAAAATTTGTTAAAATATTAACTGCAATATATTTTCTAACTGTCAAATCTGTAAAAGTGGAATTTTACCTAGTATTTTGTAACTAATTCTATATAATAGAAGAATATCAACTATATGCCTACCTACTTTTTCTAAATAAATTTCTTATACTTGTTTGAATAAATTTTTACCATGCTTTTAGATTAATGCATATACAAGTAATTTATTATATTTTATATAAACTAATAAAAATATATTTCATATTTGTTCCAGGCTTATTTTTTTTATTAAAATTAACCTCCTATCTTGTAAAATTATTTTATGACTATATATAGACTAAGGAAACCCGGCCGAAGGCGCCCCCAATAAATTTTAAATCCCCCCCCTTATCCTGGCTACGCCTATGCTATCCCTGGTTTCCTCTTACATTTATTCTGGCGGTAAAGATAAAATTTCCAGGAATATCGAAAATTACCTTCTCTCAATTTCATTTAACATAGAGTCTACTAGGGGTTGGCACAA